GGCTGATTCGAGCAAGAGCAGGGCTAACCACAGCCCGAGGCAGGAACAGAGCGAGGGTTCAAGTGGGTGCCGCGCTCCCCGGCTGGTCCCGCTCCCATGCTCGCAGCCTCCATCACCACCAAGCCCTTCTGTAAAGACAGGATTAGCCTTCCTTAGTTTTACTCCTCATTTTTACTCCTACAGTAAAGCATACACTGAACTTACTACATATTAAACAGCAAAAACCAGCTACCTAGAACCAAAGAGCTCTCTAAAAATCCAAGTTATCACAACTTTTTTTTTTTAAAAGATCCAGTATGACATCAAGTTAAACTATACAGTATTTTTTAATGAATATTAACAAACTGCTTTAAAAAAAAAGCAAAAAGAAAAAAAAAGGAAAAAGAAACACAGACAGAAAACTCCGTAGGAAGTTCTACATCTCTGAGGCAGCATGAAGTAAGATAACCATCGGTCCCTCCTCCTTGCAGCAGAGAGCAAGGTCTGCTTTAACCTCCTTAAAGCTGTGCACGAAGAAGACTCAGCCCCAGGGTCAGACCTGTCACTGAACTGTCCCAGCCCCCGAAAACGCACCCCATTCCCCCTCACTGTGCTGGAAATGGAAACGAAAGCCTTTCTCCACCTTTTAGATGAGCATTCCCTACCAGCAAAGCAGGCACAGCCCAACTCTCTGCAAGGTTAATCTGTCTATACTTGCCATGGACAACATTTATTAAACTTGTCCAAATCACCCGAGCAGCACATGGGCAACTTACTGGCTGCTGTTCACTAATTACAGCTCGTCACAACACTCCTACCTCACAGGAGGGCCAGCCAAGATCACAGAAGAGCTGAGGCTGGCAGGGACCTCTGGAGATCATCTAGTCCAACCCCCTGCTCAAGCAGGGTCAGTTACAGCAGGTTGTCCAGGACCGCGTCCAGTCAGGGCTTGAATATCTCCACAGATGGATATTTAACATCTTACTATCTCCACAGACAGAGAGGGGAAGGCTGGTGGGCAACCTAGTAAGCACGCCTTCAACCTCCAAGGCATCTAACTGGCATGTAATGGGTCTCTTGGTCATCAGAAGCCAGCAAAATCCTGCAGAGGAAAACACCTGAGGCTGCATCGACCTTGCTAGGGGAAATTTATTTTTAAGTGACGTTTACAAGAACTGTGCAAAACCTGAAAAATACAGAAGAGGTAAAGAAAGAGTAAAGGGGTAAAACAGGAATCCTGCAAGATGGGGAAAAAAAGACACTCCTCCTTTACCCACTGCTAACCTTCCCCTCCCTGTGGAGCTGAGCCCACAGGCCAGGAAGGATCCTCCTGGCTTGCTCTGGTTCCCCTCCAGCAAATCAGACACCAAGCCCCTGGCACACTGCGTGGGCTACCATTGGTGATGGTAACGTCTCTAAAGTTGTATGTTATTAGTAGTGTTCGCTTCACCCTTTAGTGTTCGAACTGCTGAGATGGCCCTTTCCCTGACCCCCCTGGAGGTACGCTAACGGCTCAAGCGGTGCAAAGAGGGAAGGGGCCTGGGGGCTGGAGGTTAAGTCTTGGCAGGAGCGCTAGGTCCCTCAGGAAGCAGCTCTTAAACGCCAGGCTCTTGGCCAGGAGTAGGGCACGGAGGCTCTCCTCGCCACGCTCTCCGGTAGCGGCACAGCACTTGCTACTCTTCCCCATGCTGCTGGCAGGGACGGGGGGCGGGCAGGCTCGCTCAGAACCCTTGCAGAGTGTGACAGCCAGCGACTGCAAAAGCAGCAATGCCAAAGTGCTTTTTGGAGCTGTGCAGCCCCATGGCTTTTCCCTTTCTACACTCTAGATAGAGAGAGAGCAGGGGAGGTTGGGGCAGTCAATCAACGCTAACAATCTGAAATGGTCCTCTCAACTGAGCTTGGACCAAGAAAGTTGGGAGATCCCAGCAGCGGAAACCTGCTACTTCCTCGCCAAGCAGCGCACCCCGGGAGAAGAGAGGGCTGGCTCTGCCTTGCTCCCGAGCCCTCTCCAGGAGGAGAGTTACCCAGCCCTCCCCGCTGACCCCGCCAGGCAGGGCAGGGGAAAGAGGCTGCACGCGAAAGGCTGGTGCCCGCAGCGGGCAGCTGAGCTCCCAGCACTGGAACTGCAGGTACAGCGTGAACTACAGTCCAGGGGACACCAGGCAACTACAGGCATCATTTCCTCTCCCCACCTCCCTCCTTTCCTCTCCACCCCTTCGAGCTTTTCACGTCATCTGTCGTCCCTGTGAGACAGGTGGTGTATCAACCACAGAGGCCAGAGGAAAGTTTACCTGCCCGCCCACCGTACCTCCCCTTTCCCCCAAACGCCCTGGAGGCCATCTACAACCGAGGAGAGGGAAGGGGAGGCCGAGGCTCAGGAGCGTCACGTGTAAGCTGAAAGTCACCGAGGGGCGGCAGGCTCACGGCAAGCAGGCAGCCACCTGGTAGGCGCCCTCGGCTGTGTGCTGGACGCTGTGCTCCTGCAGCAGGCCCAAGTCCAGGAACCGTTCCCCGCACCACATGCACTTGTACTGCTGCTCCCGGGCGTGCACGCTGTGGTGCTTGTTGAGGTGCTCACGCTGCTTGAAGGCCTTCTCGCAGGAGGGGCACTTGTAGGGCTTCTCGCCCGTGTGCACGCGCCGGTGGCGCTGCAGGTCCGAGGCGTACTTGAACCGCTTTTCACAGTCGGGGCACTTGAGGGGCTTCTCGCGGGCCGGGTCGCAGCGGTGCTGCACGAACTCGGAGGAGGAGAAGAAACGTCTCTCGCAGAGCGTGCACTTGAGTGGCTTCTCGGCGCAGTGGGCCAGCTGGTGCTTCTGCAGAGCCGAGGCCCGCTTGTAGGACTTGTTGCACACCGCGCACTTGAAGGGCCGCTCCGCGTTCTGCACGCACTTGTGCCGCAGCAGCTCTGAGGACTGGTTGAAGCCTTTCTGGCACACGTTGCACTTGAAGAGGTTTTCTATGCCGTGCACATGCTGGTGGTACACCAAGTGCGAGGGTTGCACGAAGCCCTTCTCGCACAGGTTGCACTTGAAGGGCTCCTCAGCCTTGTGCGTGCGGCGATGGCGCATGAGCGCGTACTGCTGCTTGAAGCTCATCTGGCAGAGGTCACACTTGAAGGGCCGCTCTTCGCTGTGCGTGCGCTCGTGCTGCCGCAGGTCCGAGGGGCGCTTGAAGGCCTTCTGGCACTCGCCGCAGCGGAAGGGTCGCTCCCCGCTGGGTGTGCAGGGGTGCTGCAGCAGCTCCGACGACTCCTTGAAGTGCAGCTCGCAGATGTTGCACTTGAAGAGGTGCTCCCCTGAGTGCGCGTACATGTGGCGCACCAGGTGGGAGCGGTGCTTGAAGGTCTTCTCGCACACCGTGCACTTGTAGGGCCGCTCCGAGCTGTGCGTCCGTTTGTGGTGCACCAGGTGGGACGACTGGCTGAAGCTCTTGTCGCACAGCGTGCACTTGTACGGCTTCTCACCCGTGTGGATGCGCTCATGCCGGGACAGCTCTGAGAGGTGCTTGAAGGTTTTCTGACAGATGGAGCAGCTGTAGGGCTTCTCCGAGGGGTCGAGAGGCTGAGAATGCTCTGCCTCAGGAGGCTTGTACGTCTTCTCACAGATAGAGCACTTCATGGCGTTGCCGTTGTGGACATTATGGTGCTGCGCCAGCGAGGTCAGGAGGGAGAAGCCCATCTTGCAGACACCGCACACGAAGGGCTTCTGCTCCACCTGGATGCACTGGTGTTCGAGGAGGTCGGTGGCCTGGTGGAAGATCTTCAGGCACTGGGTACACTGGAAAGAGCGGTCATGGCCTGGCAAGCACTGGTGCTCGTGGGGGTTGGAGAGGTGAGCGAGGTCATGGCCACACACACCGCATTTGTGGGACGGCTCTCCAGCCTGGATGGGGGCGTGCTGGTGGTGCTGCAGAACGGGGTCCGGCTGGAGCAGGATGCCGTAGACAGCACAGCCCAAGGGGTTGTCAGCAGTGCTGGGCGGGATGGAGTGCTCTGGGAGGGCGGCTGCCCCAGCGTGGTGCTGCTGCGGTGGCGGCGGCTGCTGTGGTTGCTGCTGTTGCTGCTGCCAGCTTTCTGACATGCTTGGGAAAAAAAAACGGGATTTTAGCAGTGACAGCTTCAGCTTCTCGGTTGAAAGGGTTCAAGCAGAAACAAAAATCGAAAGTATCCAAGATCCTGATACCCCGTAGCTGATCCCCTGAAGCAGAGGACAGAAAATCCAGCCCACAGCCAGGATCTTGGGAGGCTGATCCTTAAATCAGCACAAGTTCTTTGTGGACTGGTTTAGTTTGGCTTTTTCTTTTTTGTACAAAAGAACAGGAGGCAGAAGCAAGTGCCTTGAAGACAAGAGGAGGCCCTTCTCCGTGCTGGCTGTGATGTGCTCACATTTGGGAAGGGCAAGGGAGGCAGCCCAGGGAGCAGCTCTCTCTGCAAGGAAGAAGACAGCTCATGTCAGGTCTCGGAGGAAAGATGGGCAACTCTCTAGTCAACCTCCCACCACAGCTCACTTTGAAAACTCTCCTGCGTCCCTGCAAAGCTACCAGGAAGCCAGTGTGGGGGAGCTAACCAGAACCGGAGCCCCCCCTGCTGCTGCGCGAAGCACCTGGGACAAGGCGTGCTCAGCCTGGAAAGGGTCGGGCTCTGCCCGGTCGCAGCCAGGCAGGCGTTTTGAGCCGCGTGCTCTCACGAGAGGCAGCACAACTGCCCAGGTCCCAGTCAGCTCGGCCATTACCCCGTACGCTGTCAGTCGCTGGATCTCCCAGCCCTGCTGGGGCCACTGGTTGAGAATATCGGACCCTCTGCACAGGCTGAGGTACGCCAAATACCGTGCGATCAAGAAGTTACTGGGTTAGATTTTACAGATATCAAGGCAGATCCCAACCTGATCCCACCCCAGCTGAAACACCCCCATGACGCAGTTCTGCTCCTCCTGCAGCTCGGGTATCGGGCACGTTACCCAAGGGATTTATGTAAGAGATTTCCCCCCTCTCCAGGCAGCACTTGTAGACTAGGAAGAGCCAGAGAGCTTAGGGGAAGGTTTGCCCTCAACGTTATCCTATCCGGAGACAAAACACAGAACCCGCAGGTATCGCGTGCAGCACTCTCTGTGAAGATAAAAGAAGCGTTAAAGCAATGGCTTGGCTGAACCTCCTACCAAACCATGGAATAAAAGTACACTGGAGCCGAACAACCTACACCAGAGGTGCTGCCTGGCCTTACTACAGAGCACCACAGGGGTTTTGCTCACTGAAAAGTTCCAGTCTTTCTAGAGACATCCAGTAAAACCTGGTATCAACTTAGAGAAGAGTAAAACCCATCAGTGAGCAGCAGACAGCAGCAGTGCCAACACGCCTCAAGAGAGAGGAAGGGTCCAGGCCTTGGCGAGAAGCGGCAGCTAGTGCTCCTGGGCCACGAGCCCCTAACCCCGCAAGAGCACACTCGTTCCTGCGTCAAACCGCCTGCCCTCACCCAGGGTAAGCAAAACCCTGGTCTTCCAGGAAAGCATTTGTTGTATTTAAAACTAAGCGATAAGGAGCATCAGAGAAACCCACTTCCCAGCGTCCCCACCTCCCCCAGCGCTCAGCTGAGACCGGATCATGCTCCACAAGCTTGGGCAGCCCCGGACCACTCTTCTGCCTATGGGGACACTGCATTACTTTGTCTGCCGGCACAATTTTGAGCAGTAAAATGCCCAAAGGCCCCATCGCAGCCCTGCCAGTACACAGGATCTCCTCTTTCTCCTACGTAGCTCACCTTGACTGTCGACATGAAGGGAGGGCTCGCAGTTACGATACCTAGCACCTGAGCTCGACGGGATACAACACTTGAACACAGCCCCGCCGCCAGCTTCCCCCACAGGCAACGCTAACCATGGCAGGAGCAACCCAACGGCGACGGCATCCCAGACCATCCGGCCGAATGGGGAGGGGAAGCTTGCGTCCCCCCAGCAGGGAAGAATAAGAAGTACCAACCTTGGCTTACCGAGGGCTCTGCACGGGTACCCGAGTCGGCGCCAGCTCCGAGCCTAACTCATCCCTCCGTGGGAGGTGGGAAGCGACAACCATTTAAGGAGAGAAGACGGGAAAGCAGAGGTACTTTCAAACTGGAGAAGCGGCCCACGGCACGGCCCGCTCCGGCATGGTCCGGCCCGACTCCCGCCTCCCCCTGGCCCCACTGTCCCCGGG